GTTTTCTGCTCACCGACCGCACGGAGCCTAGAGATGGTGTAACCTTCGTCGGCCTTGAGGTGCTTAAACCCGCTTGGTTAGGTAGCCTCTTCCCCGTTGGAGAGATAGGCGATAGGTTCCTTTGTTGCGTTACTACGCCGGGTGGGGACCGGTTCAAATCGCCATCATTAACGTTCAACGATAGCTTAATTTTCGGCTTTCGCTGTTGCTCCTGCTGTTGTGGTGGTGGTGGTTGTAGCTGGGGAGACTCGACTTTGAGTCGTTCGAATTCCGAAATCAGGCTGTGGAAATATACGCGTGCTTGTATGCTTAATGCATAGTCTGCGGGAGTGCACATCGCATGATTGAGAGCTAGGGAAGGTGCACCCGCTGATACCAGGAGCCGGAATGCCTTCAAATTTCCCCATGCACTAGCATAATGCAAGGCGGTGTTGCCGACGTTATCTGCAAGCGTGACGGACGCATCTTGTCTGAGAAGCGTTGCAATGGTACTTGTATCTTCTGAGGAATTGGAAGAGGAACGCGGGCGCTGCTTCGGAGGAATTAGGCATGTGCTTTGCGCCGGGTGGGATACGTTGGAGTTTTGAGCCGCAAGCATGAGGGGTGTGGCGCCATTATGGTCAGGCCGGTCGATGGTTTGGGGGAACTGAGTGCACAGGAATTGGACACAGGAGGTGTGGGAATGAGCAGCTGCAAGGTGGAGAGGTGTAGCTCCATCAGTATTCACGCTGATGCCGGGGGCCGCATCGAAGCCGCTCTCCAAGATTCGAGGGGTGCATGAGTCGTGGCCGAATGATACAAGGAGTTTCTAGGAATTGTGTTTTAGTGGGGGCCCAGGAACAAAATATGAAGATGCGGTTCCATACAACGATTTCCAGGTTGCCAATAATCGCTGCGAGATGTAGCGAGGTATTGCTCTTGTCGTCGAAGTTTGGGTTCTCCAGGAACCTGGGGTTATTCTTTATGATACGCTTCACCAGCAAGACATCGTTCCACAGGATAGCGCTCCGCAAGCGGACATGCACTGGTAGGTCAACCCTAGTTGTCAAATTTAGCACAAGCCCGAGAAAAGATACGCTAGGTAAATCAGTTGCATTGCAGTTACGAAGCGTACATCATCTCCTGGGACACCGGCAAGTTGCTACGGTCAAAGTTGCAGGTCTTCCATGTTCTCTTCGGGAGTTTCAAGAAGTTGAACGTCTATGGGAAGGTTGGTCAGGGGCCATGGAACGGGGTTCAGATGGCTGCCGAGAAGCTAACCCGTGGTAGAAAAGGAAACCAAAATGTCGTCCAGGAGTCGAGGGTTACACTTGAGCACGGCTTTCAAAAAGTGGAACGTGGTGATAAATCTTAGCTTAGCAAACTCTCGGTGGGGCTTAAACATATAACCACTAGATATTGATAGTTAAGAATAGATATCAGTAAAAAGTCAGAGGAGAAGAGAACATTACAGAGTAGTAAATCACTAATTGATAGTTAATTAATGAGATAATAATTATTAAATATAATCATTAGAGAGAGGAGCTGATACAGTGATTGTACCGTACATAATACTACAGGGCCTTGACTGAACACCATATGTGTTCGAACACAGGAAAATCCACCTTCATATAACCACTAATTTAATTAATTACGCTGGGTTACCCGGCGATTACACGACGAACTATGTATACACAGAATTACATACAGAATATAACTAATCTGTACTCGTGCCGCTGCTTACCCACATCTCATGTGGGTGCGCCACACCGAAACGATAAGTACACTTTGTATGAGAACATCATATAAGAGATACTTTATAAAATAATCAATAACATCACCACCATATAAGATATGAGCATGAAATTGAAATATGAAGATTATATATACTCAAATAATATAGTTAATATAATACTTTTATATAAAAGTAACTCAATTTCTCAAATCTGAAAAATAGACTAAATTTTTAATACAAAATTCAATTTTTCATAATAAAATAATGAAAAATTACTTTATTTTAAATATACTCATATCATAGGATTTCTTACTATTTATTTTATCTTCATCTAGCTTTTCAAGTGTATATCTAAGATGTTGATGAAAATATTAAAGAAAATGATGTTTGTATCTTTTATATATGATTCCCATATAAAAGATGACCTATTTTCATTT